CTTTTCCTCCTGCTTCACATGCTCCTCGTAAACTATGTTGCTGTGCATAAAGTATTTCAGACACAAGTGGCTTGCCCTGAATGATATCATTTCAGATACCAGGTGGCTTTGGAGCAAAAAGTTGCTTTTCACTTAGAACATGGAATTTATGGCCATTTGTCCATCTTTCTCCCTCAGCAGCAAGCTAGGTGGCACACATTTGAAGATCTGTTGTGCCTGCTCTGCTATAACTATACCAGATACCAGAGTATTGAGGATAGCACACCAAGCCCTTGCTCTTGCTCTGACTTGATGTCGTCTGATATTCAGGGGGAGGGGAAACAAAAAAGCAATAAAACATAAAAATAAAAAACTAGCTTCTAGTTCTTACACCTGGTTTATTTAAACAACGCTAAGGCCCTCAGCCTTCACTTACCATTGTACTACAGAGCATTTGGTTTCTGATTTGATTTAATAACCCCTGATGCATCTTCTCTGATCTGGTGAGAGGCAGAAGCAGCAAATAGGCAGAAGTGAAGAATTCATCTGACAGTGCCTGTTGCTGTTGCACACGGTTTCTGTGTGTCTCAGGTGCCTCGGGGTGATCAGCAGAGCCAGGAAGTGTCAGCAAGTTTGTGGCAGTATTTCTGAAGTCCCTTGCAAAGGTATGCCCAGATCTGAACCTGCATGAAATTCAGTGGTTTATATCCACTTGCAGTTCTGATGATTTCTGGGAATATGCAGCTGCCAAGTGTGGCTCTTAATTTCTAAAGCAATCAGTTATGGTGGTGCCATTACTTCAGTGTACAGTCACTGTGCAATAATTCAAATCGCCATTGTCATTATTATTACTTCCAACCATCAACCTAATACTTTCTGCCAAACTGGAGCAGGTGTGTGAATGTAATCACTGTGCAATTAATTAACCTGCGTTCCAGTCAGTATGCAGCACACAGCTCCCTGCATCCCAGACGAGTTAAGTTTAGCAGAGCGGATGCAGAATTTAAAAGTACTTTGCAGTAAGAACTCAATCAAATAAGAAATGAAAGCCAGGCAGCTCTAGGGCCAGCTTTTCAGCTTCACATCACGCCTGACAAAAACGGGCACCTGCCTGTATCAGTCCAAGGGTTTTCCAGGACTGTGGGAGAAGGAGATAGAGTTGCATGTTATTTCTGAAAACCATGAGTTTAGAAATCATCTGATGCATGAATTCTGAGTGAGTGAAACAGCAAAGGCCAGCTGCTCACCGCAGTGCCCCACAAATCCCTTCCACTGGCAGCACAGCAAGAACCTGGGAGCTGCCTGGGCTCCCTCCTCTCTGTGCAGATACAGAGCTACAGCAGAGCCAGATTAAATTGCTGGATTAAGCAGTCCCACAGCCCAGCATCTGGACCTTTGTGACAGCTGTGCCTAGGAAAGAAGTCAAGTATTGGTGCTATAATTGCATCAACTGGCATGTCATGGGTCACAGTGTTACAGCTAGAAAAGATCTGTTAAGTCATTCACTCCCATTCTTAGCCAGTGCAGTATTTGACTCAAAGTGTTTGCTACTGCTCTTAACACAGTATTTTAAGAGATCTGGGCAATGCAATCCTTCTCCCCTTCTCTTGGGAACTACATCATCTAAATTGCTGCCAGGAAGCGGCTAGTCTACCATTCCCCTGTTCTAACATGATCCCGTTAATGACTCTTCATGCCTTTCCTGTCTACCAAGGCCTTCCCCTTCACTGAGCAGTCCTTTCCTTCCTTTGGACTGGAACAATAGCCTGCAGGCTTTCTTCTGGGCTGGCTTTTGAGAGGAGGATACCCTGCACCAGGACTCTCATTTCTGAGGGTCCCCAAAAGGCTGGGTTCCTGTTCTGCCAAAAAGCCTCATCCACTGCCCTTAATTATGTGCACTGAAAGACCCCACACAGTCAAATCATGAGATGTTTCCATTAAGACAAATATTCTCAGGTTCTTATTTTTTTTATCTTGTATGTCTATATTTGGAATTATTTTCTATTTTTTATCTGTTCTCCAAAACTTAGACAATGGGCCCTGTGTGCAGTCATATGTGTTAGAAGGGCAGCTCTGTTATTTTTCTTCACCAGTCTGTTGTTGCCAAACCTGCATTGCTGCTGTGAACAGGACTCCAGACAAGGTGACTGGGTTGAGCACCTCTCTGCCTGCATCAAACCTGGGCTCCCCCATGAGGAATACCATGCCAGTGTCACTACATGCCCGGTGCTCACCAGGTCCAAGCTGCTTTGTATTATTTCCTTATCTTTGTTGATATCCCTCATTTCCCTCCAGACGATGGGATTCCTGAGCATCAGTGCTTTGCTGGCCCTTTTCACCTTACATAACTGATGGGTATCAATTCAATTCAGCATCACTGGAGCTCTTGCAGTGCATATCACTTTCTGGTTCTGCAGTAAGACGTTATCAGCATTAATTTGATTTTGATCTGGGCTTCATACATCATTGGCAAGATCAGATTCATGCTTGTGTAATTTCGGGAGTAGCTTTTGCTACTTTGCTTTTAGTGTTATGAAACATTTCATTATAACTCACCTTTCTTTTTCTTCAGCTTGTTACTTCTTTCCCAAGTATGAACGTTGTCATCCAACACAGGTTTTCCTTTCACATGGTTACTAAGCATTTCTTTTGGTTTCTTCTGTAAAGAAAGAAGCGGAGAGATGAATCAGGTTAACTTCCTTTGCTGCTTTACTCTATATGGCCAGATGATACTGATTAAAATCATATGCTGTTGCATCAGAAAGAAATTTCCTCACCTGTGTGACAAGCTGGGCTTTTACCGCAAGCAAAGAGAGTGTTTCACTTATTTCGTTTGCTTCTTTAAGCATAGCTCTCTCATTCTCACTGTCTTGGCTATAATCTTGAAAATGAGTTGATTAAAATCAAGTTTCTCTGGACTGATACACTGAGTCAGCAACTGGGATTGCAAAGGAACATGTATTTTCTAAGGAAGCTGTCTCTGTAGGGTTGCAAAAGAAAAAAACTACTAAAAATAAAATTTCACTGTTGGTTTGGGGATTTGAAAGTCTATTTTTATCAAAAATAACTTTTGGGATAAGCATATTGCGTTAGGCAAGGCCTTTGAAAGCACTCTCTCTTAGTAGTTTAAGTCTGATCTTATTTGAAATGTACAGCTTTAAGATCTGTATCTTTACAAAGGAAAAGGCAAAGTCTTGAAGTAAGACCACATCAAAAGTGAGTCCTCCCCTTTTCAGCTCTGATATCTAAGCAGTAAAACTGGTGCAGAAAAAACATGTTTTGTGTAAGTTCTCCATTTTCTTGACTTTTAAGATCAACTAATCAAATGAGAAGCCCACATCCATGAGATGTAGCCTTATCCAGTAGCGTTCTTTTGACCAGACCTTTCAGCACAAATATTTCCACTGACTGCAGTGCTAAGCACGTACATAAATACTTTGTTGAATCAGTGGCATAGCTATAAACCAGCTTTTAATACCAGTCTGCCAACAGACTGCAGGAACTAAAAATAAATAGAATCGGTTCTTTGTGTCTCTGATCAGAGCAGGAATCTAAAGGAGTGTCCCAGATCTTTAATGTTCTCAACAGCATAATTTCTGTATTCTTATGTCTTGTAAAGCTGAGAATAAGCCCTGAGACATAAGGTGTGACTGGGCATTGCTAACATGCGGTGCTGCAGGATAGCCCTTCTCTTGTCACTCAACACCTCCCATGCATCTTTTTGGAGCTTACAATTGTTGCTTTAGAACTGGCCAAAATTACAAATGTGGCAGGAAAAAGCAAAATCAGGTCTTCATTTCCTGCCTCCTGAAGGTCCCTCTGGTGTTTCTCCACATTTACTCTGCTCCCTTCCATTCCCCACCCTTGGTTCAGGGAAAGGGTTTTCTATGTCTGCGTCCTTTGAGTCTTGTCTGGCAAGACACGCTGTGTCATTGTGAGCAACCTACGGCTGTTTGCAGTGATGCACCCTGAATTATTCTTCTGCTGCAGATCAGCCTTTGGGAATCGGCCAGGATAGCTATTCTGCAGTGGATAACTTGCTGCTGAATGCATCCTAACACATCCTCCCTCTTCCTTCTGTAATCTGTGATTCACAATGGAGATGGAGGATTTTGCCCACCACCATGAGAAGGCACAGCTGGCTCCCTGTGGAGGGCTGGAGGAGCATCCCCCTCTGCAATCATCAGCATCAGCACAGACTCACCAGTGGAGATGGGGAGTGCTCAGTGTTATTTTTAAACGAGATGTCTAGGTCTGCCTTTTTGTAGAGTACATAAGCTGGACACAGGGGTGGCTGCCAAAATGCAAAAGCAGCTGATGGTGCCTCTAGCTACTCTGCAGGCTTCCTCTGAGAGGCTCTGAGAGGAAGAGGGGAAAGGTACCACCCTGGTGACCATCATGCAGGGAGCCCATCACAGCTCCTGTGTGATCAGAAAAGCACTGACAGTGGCAGGGGCACACGGTGAGCTGCAGGCTGCCTGGCCCCTGCACACCTCAGACAGATGCTGTGGCGGGGGGGATGTGTGTATTCCTAGCGGATGGCAAGGTCTTTGGCCTTTTTCCTCTGCTGCATCACTCCCTTTGAAGCCATGAAACATTGCTTTGACCCTCTAGCTGGAGGATAGGGTCCAGGGGACAAGCATGCTCTGTCTTCTACAGTGCTGGCTGTCCCTGTACATCCCTTACCTCTGTCTCTGGGTACCTGTGCTTTGGCAATGTAGATAGATGAGCTGAAACAAGCAGACCTCAGCACAGAGCACCCTGCAAGCCTGTGGCCTGAAACCCAAATGTGCATCACCATGAGGCTATAGTCCTTAGGATGGGGTGTATCTGCATCAAGGCCTGTGCACCTAGTTTGCCTCTGTTGTTGCAAGGTGTCTGTGGTTTGTTGCCCCTCGAGGAATTCTCCTGGTGTGTAAGTGCCTCTGTGTGTGCCTGTGTGTTTGCATTTACAGTCCTTACTCCCCCCAGGTTTTCCATTTGCAGTTTTGCTTACAAGGGACTCCCTTGCTGTGTTTCAGCTGTATCACAGATTCCAGCAAAGATGGAAAAGAGACACATCTCTGTCAGGCCACTGCCCTGCAAAACTGCCTCCCACTTACAGGGATCAGCATCCTTGACAAACTCATCAAGACCTGTTCTGTCTGGCTTCAGCTGAATATGAACCGGGAAAGGGCTGGGGTGATACTTGGCAAAGAAACAGCCGGGGTAAGTCCAAAGCGGTTTCAGTTCAGACAATCACATTTCCTGTCTTTGGTGGAGCTGGTTAGGAGAGCAGCACTTTTTTTCGTGTGGAAGCAAAAATACTCAGCAGACTGTTCTCTGATTCCATTAGCTTTTGATGCTTTAGCCACTCACAATAGCGCAAGACATACAATGGCATGTCTTGCCATTCATGGAGATGCCTTTCCATTCCCCACCATACCCTTGGCTACACTAATTTAGAGTAATAAAGATTAGATTCCCTGAAGAAAAGGCCCCTAAATTCTGGGAACTGCTGGGAGTCATTCTTACTGCAATCTGGCCCTCATAAGCTGAGTGCTAGAAAATGGCAGACTCATGCAAAGCTCAGAGCTTGCTTAAGGAAAACAGCTCTGTAGGAAAGGGAGCGTCCCATTCCTGGGGTCTTGGAGGTAAGCCATAGCAGGGAGTGGGTATCCTGGTCAGGTCTGTGGATGGCAGATGCAAATGACCTGAGCTGATGCCAAAGCACATGGGGAATTCACTCATTCCTGCTCCTTGAGGAGGTTTGGACCTGTAGCTCAGCTGAGTCAGTCTATCCAAGGGCTAAAAGCTGGCACAGCCAAGTGCTAACCTCCATGGGACTTGCCTGATCAACCTAGACTGTACAGTGCACCTTACCCTGAAATTCTCAGACAAGTTGAGCGAATTGTCCTTTTTGTTTTCCTGCACTGACTGTAAAGGGAGACCTGAGTGACTGTCTCTGATATAGCAGTGTATGACCCCAAGCCTCCTTGGTCAGGACCTTCTCAGTCCTGCAGGCAGGGCTATTCCACACTTCTGGAATAGCTCTGGGGATAAACCTTGCCTCTCTTCCCCCTGCTCGCACCTTTCTCAGGCACGGTCTCCAGCTGCGGCTTGAAACAGGCAGAAGAGCTGGTGTATCAGAGGTGTGCCATGGCAAACGCAGGCTCTCCTGCCCACTCTGAGCAATCCTGAAACTGAATCAGCGCTGCAGCTTTCCCGCCACTGATGAAAATGGAAGAGACTGGTTTGTGTACCAGCCCTGGCCCAGGCGGTAGGGTTAGGTACAGCTCAGAAAACCCACCTCCCTCCCATCTGAACAGCCATGGTCCAATTCTAGCCCTTTGGAGCCATGGCAACCAGTCGTGACAATCAGGAAAATAGAAGTGATTCATTTCCAGGTTTCACTTCTTTCATTGCTTACCTTTAATTTCAGATGAAGCACTTGACCAATGCTATGTGAGATAGTGCGGACTGAGACCCAGGGTCATGGTAGCCTCTTGAGGGGTGTTAGAGGGACAATGCTAACACATGGGTGGTAGGACCTGGGGAAGAGGGATCCTCTACGGCTTTTTCCTACCTGCAGTATTTTCCATGATGCAGGTGGGGGGTGCCCTGCTTTAGATGTAGGCCAGCTTCAGGCATGTGCTTGTTTGCCATGTGTGTATTTGGATTTTCTCTGCAGTGCTGGTGGACCTGAGCCCATGGGCATCCGTTTCTCATGAATGGCAGAGGCCAAGATGATGGCACTGTGAGAGATTGTGAAGCTGCTTTAAAACTACATGTTTAGCATGGGTGCTTCAGAGTGACAGGAGATGCCCTTATGAGTGGGGCTCATGCAAAGAACGGTTCTGGCTTCTAGACAACACTTTTTTTTAATTCCTCTGTCCAAGAAATTAATGTTTCCTTGATAGATTTCCACTGCATTGTAATTGATAAATGATTTTACCAACTCACAGTTTTTCTGTCTAGTTTTAATATCCAGAGTCCAGAATTAGCCCAAATTTTAAATTCAGTTTTTTATAAGAGTGCCTTGACTTTCTCCTGCCAAAATCTGCTATCAAAGACCAGATAAAAGTGAAGTTTACTTTGTCTTTATATCTGTGGTTTCAAGGTACACGCTAAAAATATCCTTGACAATGAGCTTTAATTAGGAACACACTCAGGAGCTCATACAATATAAAGAATGAGATTTTTTTTTTTATTATTTCTTCCTTTATATTTTTTGTCTTCCTTTTTTCCTTTCTTTCTTTTTCTTTTGCCTTCTGTCTTTTCTTCTTTCTTCCTCATTTCTCATTTTGTTCTAATTTCTTTATTCTTTCCTCCTCCTTCTTTTTTCCTTTTTCTCTTTCTCCTTTTCCTTTTTGGTGGGAACCAATAGGTACAGTGCTTCTACTTGTTCCAATTAAAGTCTCAGGGACTTCTTCTTAACGATGTGTATGAACACATGAAGGGAGGGCACACAGAAGACTGAGCCAGGCCGTTCTCAGTGGTATGCAGTGAAAGGATGAGGTGCAGTGGGCACAACTTGAAACACACAAAAATCTTTTTAAATACTAAGAAAACCTTTTTTACTGTCAGGGTGATCGAACACTGGAACAGGTTGTCCAAGAGGCTGTAGAGTCTCCATCCTTGGAGATATTAAAAGTCTGTCAAGACACAGCCCTGAGTGACTTGCTGTAGTTGATTCATCTTTGAGCATGGTGGTTGGCCTGGGTGATATCCAGAGTTTCTTCCAGCCACATCTGCTCTGTGATTTTGGGACCAGCCAATACACTGAAGTCAGTGCTGCCACCCAGAGGGATCTTCGACAAGCAGGGGAGACAAGGCTGGCAGAAACCTTCCAAAATTCAACAGGGCAAAGGCACAGCTCTGCCCCAGGGAGACAGACCCCTGGCAGTGACCTGGGCTGGCACTGCCTGCCTGTGCAGCGCTGTGGGAAAGGCCCTGCAGGGGTGGTGGGCAGTGAGCTGGGCACAGACCGACTGAGGAGAGGCTGTGGGACCAGGGTTTGCACAGCAGCACCCTGGTACCTGCAGGGAGGTCATGGAGAAGATGGAGCCAAGCTCTGCTCAGCACTGCATGGTGGGTGGACAAGAGGTGACATTGAAACCAGAGGGGTTCAGATTGAGTACAGGGAAACACTTTCTCCCTCTGAAGATAGTAAGAGGTGGGACATGTCTGGAGAGGCTGTGTGGTCTCCACTCCTGCAGGTTCTCCAGACCTGTCTGGACAAAGCCCTGAGCAACCCACTCTGGCCTCCTGTCTTCAGCCAGGTGTTGGACAAGAGCCATCTTGGGGTCCCTGCCAGCCTGAATGATCTGGTCCCATGACAGAACTTTGCCATGAGACACATGGCCAACAGGGCCTTTGGCCTTACGTTCCACTCATGGACATTTGAATCCATTCTGTCTCATAGTACAAGGAATTTCTTGCTTTAGACCTGGACTGGGACATTCTAAGGTGAATTGTCTGTGATTTAGAGCATATATGTAAGGAGCATCACTTGACAAATTGTGGGTGTAGCTTTATACTCTTCAGTTAGTGAAATAGTTTGCCTTAGGCTTAAGTGGGACATCGGTAATGCATAGAAATTTTGCTGGCTCCTTTGCAGATCTGAATTTCACAGATGAAATGCCCCTTTATTCATTATTTTTGTCATGTAAAGTTCAACCAAGTGGAATGAAGCTGAAGTAACATCATTTAAAGGTGGATTGTACTGATAAAAACCTTCACTGCCAATAATCTAAAATAAAGTTCAGAAGTTCACATAGTGTAGCTAAGCTCTTAATTCTTTTCTCCTTTTTCAGATATTTTTGGTTAGGAAAGAGGGTAATGTGAACAACATGGTCCTTGCAGTCCGCCTACCAGTGCAGAATGAGGTTCCCGGTGTGCTGGAGTACAACATTAAAGAAGAAAAATCAAGTAAGTTCTTTACCTTCTTTTGGTCTCGTTCTGGATATTGTACTGAATCCTCTTGTGATCACCAGTATTTATGTAATCTTACTTGCAATGAGCAGGTTCCTCTTGTGACTGACAGCAGATCTTGTTTTTACGGTGTAGTTCAGTTAGTATTTCCTGCAGCTCCTTTACCTCAGCTCCCCTGTGGTTCTGCACCTTGTGGTATCATTTACAGACTTGCAACAGGAAAATAAATTACCCCCAGATGAGCAGGCTGGGGCTTTGATCAAGGGCATGGAACTGCTTTTCACCAGGTGGAAGTCCTGAGGAAAGCCCAGGGCCCTGACAGACTAAGCCCTGTTAACTCAAAACTGTCTATTTCTGCCACTGAATTTGAGACCCACCAGGCATCTGACATCTGCTGCATTCCCTTTTCATGCACCTCATACAGTCATATGGAACAACCGGTTACTCCTAAACCGTCTGACTGTTTTCAGTGTACCACTGTTCCCGGGAAGCACCTGGGTCTTCCTGTTGGTGGTATCAATGCTGTTCCTGATCAGACAGCCATCTGTCACAAGCAAGCAAAAATCAACCAAGTTCATAGTCAGCCATTTCTGATGCAGCCCTCAGTGTAAGTGGATATGTAAAGCGTATGATTTCCACTTTCCAAAACATATATGCAAACATGAGATCTTTAGGATATTCATACAAACATGCATTTGAAAGAGTTCATCAAAATAATTACATACTATTTATTCATAAAAACACATTCAAACCCTCTGACACTGAGCTCTGCCCCAAAACCAGCTCCCTGGGTTATACATTTTACTCTCTGCTAAAACACTTGTGTTTCCACTGACAATACTGTGACTTATTTCTTCCCCCTTGATAGTTGCTCAAATGAATTTTTTACCTTTTCATATGTTTCTTTGCATCATAAACAGACTTTAAAGCCAGAGGGAAAAGTGACTCTCTTATTCCGCTCTGATCTCAAGCGCAGACCACAGGCTGCCACAGTGTTGCTCCTGCACAGAGCGCAGCTCCCTGCCTGGCTGCTGCATACCCCCAGGAAAGCTTTTCTCTCTCATCTGCGCGCACCTTGAAGCACAAAATTGCAGAGGTGGCACACGTGTTCAGTATTCCTGCATGAGGGCAGGAATAGCAAACCTTTTGCCACAACTTCTGGTGTCCAGATTAAGAATAAAAGGGTAAAGGTTAGCTGCAGGGTAGGGAAACTTTTTTCTTTACTTATTTGAAGTTGACCTAAGGCTTAGGTTTTGCATGGTGGGGAATTGGGTTTTGATGATTAAAATTTTCCCTTGGATAAAAGTTTAAAAAATGAATCCTACCTAAAAATGTCATTTATAGAAGTGTTACTTCTCGATTTGTGTCCCGTCCTATTTCTTTGAGGGCAGGCAAAGTAAAATGTAGTACAAAAATTTCACTGTGAGCTAGCCTAGCTAGAAAGACTTTTCTGCTGTGTTTTTCAAACCTACTTGCTTGCTATTTCTAACTTATCGCTAACTCAGTGCAAAGGATGTGTTGAGAGACACAGCTTTCTGGTAGGAACAAAAACCCTCCTGATAGCTACATCATCTGCATGAAGTGGAGTAGACCCAGTGTCCCTCAAAAGGAGCAGCTATAAGTCACCTGCCATTTAAGAATCCCCTTTTCCAGCTCTATCGGGGACAAGCAGCTTTGGTTTTGCTGGCCTGCTCTTAGTATTTCCTTTCTGAGTTGACACATAAGAAATGATCTGTCTAATGTGCCCCATGGAGAACTGTCTGTCCCTTTCTGAGAGCTGACTCCTTGTAAGGAGTTTGAGGAAGCGGAAACAAGTTCTTTTCCCTTTTACCTTGGTTCAGCTCATTAGTCTCCACAGACTTGATGCGTTCAAATGCAAACTGAAAGCTGAATTTGCTGTGACACATAGAGTTCAGATTTTACAGAGATCCTTCCTTCCAGTTAAAATTTAGGTTGCAACCCATCCTAGCTTACTATTTTGGAGCACCTTCCCAGCTTTTTCTCGTCCTTCTCATGAGGACTCGGTGAAATCTCAGCTTCACAAGTGATACAAAGTAGGATGTGCTATCCGTGGAAGTGACATAATGGCTCTGTTCGATCTCTACAGTGATGTCTGCAGCTTTAAATAGCAAGTTTTACTGCTCAGCTCTTTGTAAAAGCCATTCTCATCCCATCCTACTTTTCAGATAGTATCTGAGGAGCTTCTCCCCAGTATCATAATGACAGTATGGAAGTTGCTGCCCCGCCTCTGAGATCCATATATAGATGGCCATTCAATGAAGTACAAAAAAGCAGAAGCTTCCTAGCATTACCAAATAATGGTGGATCATTGTTTCTCTTTTTCTTTTCCTGTATCAGATCTGCTTGCTGACGTGTGATGAAACATTTAGGGAAGTACAGTTTTCTGAAGGGAATACCAGATTTAATTATGATTTTTTTTTTAAGTGGAAATCCCCCAAGGACCCACTAAGTAAGTGGGTCAAGAAATGAAACCTCTTTCCATGTTTTCAGGGGAATTTCCACTTGTTCTGTGAAGTAGCCCTTAGAATCATAAAACAGGAGAATGAAGAGACTGGATTTCAAACATTTTCTTCTACTTCTGTATCTTCGGTTGTAATTCCTCCAGAGACAGGAAGGCTAAACCCTGGCTGCAACGGCAGGTATGGTTGAGACCTGACAGTCAGATACCACACAGCTGATCAGAAAGTTGAGAAACCTGGCAACTGTCAAAGCTCTGGATCGTTGTGGGTTTGCTTCTCAGCCTGAAGGGTCCCTTCTTTCTCAGAACAGTGGAAATGTAGAGTGAAGGCTTGTTACAGGATTTTGTCTATTTAGAGATGTAGTGTCGGGAGATACCTCTCAAGCTCTGCTGAAATCTCAACTACTTTGTGCGCTTTCAGTTTAAAGAGTTGTCCTTTGCTTCTGCTTCACCCAGAAATGGAGCCCTAGCCTCACATTCTCAAGAACTGCGCACCATTTCCTCAGCTGACTCCTACCCTTGGCTCTTCTCAGCAAACCAGTTGTAACCTCAGGACCCGATTCTCCTTCCCCTTTGTTTGTATACAGTCAGAAAGCATTCCAGTAGCATTAGGGACATTGCAGCAGTATTAAAAAGAAAAGGATCAGATGTTTAAAATAAATGTGCATGTTTGAAGTAACACATACTGAGAGCTTGAAAGAAGCATCTGAGTATGATAGACCACTTGGTGCATCACTTATGCTTGTACTTTTAGAAAGAGTTATGAAGATGCATGTCACAGTATGAAGTCCTTTAATAGAAGAATGCTTTAGCGCCATATACTGAGTGTTATGCTTCCTCTTACACATTAGAAGTCTTTTGAATTGTAGCTGGAAATAATTTGATTTTATGAAACCATGCTATGATTTTATGAGACATGAGTTGACCATATACTTCTCAGAAGTCTTGCACATATGCTTTCATGCAGAATGTGTAGTAGTTGTTTTCCAAACTCTTCTGTACCAAAAAAAGAGGATGTGATTCCTTTCAGAATATTCAGAATGATGCTGAACAGGAGAAGCATCTGCAATTGCACAGAATAAAGAACATACTCATATTACTAGAAATCTTCACAGAAATAACTATGGAATTGATTGTCAAATCAGGAAATCCTCACGCTCATGTCCTAAGGGTTTTGAGGCTGGCCTGATCCTGCCACAGATACCCACTCTAGTAATCATGCTTCTGCCTCCTGTCACCCCTGTTGCTGTGGCTGGCTTTGTTCACTTGGAGGTTTATTTTCCTGAGGCAGTCCACACGAGCCCAAGTTGTGGAGTTGCTGTCCCTGTTCCTTATTTAAACTGTACCCACGTGGGATAACCTGCCACCAGGCATAGATGTTCAGAAAAATCTCTTCCAATGTGCCGGGCATAGCCTGAGTTAAACCCCTAAAATCAATGAGAGCATCGCTGAAAGAGGGGTTTGTAGTGAAGCCTTGTCTGTGGCTTGGTTATGGTTTTTTATTATAGGAAAATTCTGAGATTTAAACTAAAACTTTGCCTGCTCTGGAATTTAGGAAGGATGAAATCAGTCAGAAAAAGGAAGAGATTACTTAAGGGCTAAGATTTCACAGTCTACTTTCTTGCCTTAATAATCCTAAATAGGTGCAGTCTAATGATGTAAAAGAAAGCTTAACCTAGCTCTGTCCATCATTACCAAGTTACTTCAGCCACTTATCCACTTCCATTCCTCTTTCCCAATCACATATGGGGAAAAATAGAAACAAAAAAAAAAAAGTTTTTTATTCTAGACTAATGCCATTTGCACAGGATGAAAAGGGCATGTACAGTCATTCTGACTGTCCTGTAGCAGTAACAGATGGTAATTAAACAACAGTAATCAGGCTGCAGCATATTTACAGAGGGCATTAGAGTAACATGGGGATGGACTTTGTTCACGCTTGCAGGCTTAACTCTAAGCAAAGCTGCTGAAAGCCCTGGTCTTTACAGCCCAGCCAGTCTGTGATGAGGGCTGTGAGCACTACTGGCAGGATGGCAGAGCTGAGATGCAAGGGTTACAAATTCCTGCCTGTTTCCCTGCATTGGTCAGTAGGTCCGAGCTCTATGTGAGAGCACCCCCCAGGTGAGCACAAGGTAGGGAAAAGGAAGCAGATTGACTAGAAACATCTCAGTAGATGCTGATAATGGATTTCCTGAACCTTTAGATGCTGATAGTCATAGAATCATAGAATGGTTAGGGTTGGAAAGGACCTTAAGATCATCTAGTTCCAACCCCCCTGCCCTGGTAATGGACTTCTCTATTGTGATCTGCTGGCACCTTGGGCATTATGGCCAGATATGGTCCATTATGGCACATTTCCCTGTTTTCTTTGTTAACATTTCTTTTGATATGTGTTGCTGAGGCTGGTAACAAATTGGAGAACAGAGTCCTCAGCGCTAACATGGATGGTCAAGTGGTATATTCCCACATGAACTGCACTGAGGTATTTCATGGATGAGGTCATGGGAAAAAATGGAAG